AATGCCCTAAAAAAAGCACATAATGACGAAACCCAACAAAATAAACGAAGTAATAGGAAATCCTTAAAAATACCAATCATTTCAGGGATAATTAATTGTATAAAAGAAGCTGATGCCAAATATCAAGCACGATTAGTAAAAATAGTGAAGGAAGAAAATGCAGACTTTAATGAAAAGTCACCTAAATTAAGTAATAAAAATTTGTTGAGAATCCTCTCTCCAGTTTTCATAACATTCCTGCTTTCTGTTATCCTCATCCTCGCCCTTCCAGAGAATATGATAATGTATTCCTCGCTCGTAGCATTAGTAGTTGCATCAGTAATGTACATGACATGGAGGTACAGGAAAGCGCATATTATTTTAAACAATGTAAGGAAGGGAGGGAAAGAGCTACCGAATAGGGAAGATAAAGTGATGCCTAAAAAAGATGATAAAAGGGCACCTACATGGGAACAGATAAAGTCATCAAAGAAGGAGGGGAAAATGGAACCTAGATGGGAAGAGGAAATGGCACCTAGATGGGAAGAGAAAATGACACCTAGATGGGAAGAGAAAATGACACCTAGATGGGAAGAGAAAATGACACCTAGATGGGAAGAGAAAATGACACCTAGATGGGAAGAGAAAATGGCACCTAGATGGGAAGAGGAAATGGCACATAGATGGGAAGAGAAAACGACACCTAGATGGGAAGAGGAAATGGCACCTAGATGGGAAGAGAAAATGGCACATAGATGGGAAGAGAAAATGACACCTAGATGGGAAGAGAACTTCGATCCTATCAAAGACAATTATTATCATAAGAGAAGATAATCCTTGTAACTCATTAACGTAAAAATCATTAACATGCATATAATTTAATATTATTTATGTTATACCGTAGATATACATTTGTAATCCACGAAGGCTGTACAGGGTACGTGTTATATATATTTTCTTAATGTTAAGTAAAAAAGATATTTAATATATTTCTCTTTTCTTTTTCTGTAAATTTATTTTTTCGATTGACAAATTTGAGCATCATTGAAATAAACATATATTTCTTCTTTCCTTATGACATTATAAATGTGCCTTTTTTAGCTATTTTCTTTATTTGGTTTATTTTGATTAACCATTCTTTTCTTCAAGTTCCCAACCGTCCGATGTGCTGTTTAATCCTATGATATATGCATTTACTTATTTTATTCAATTATATGCGTCAATTTTTATGTTCATAATCTCAAACATTTTACTGTTTCGCATATACTCCTTATGATTGATATTTTAACCCATTTAAATTCGTTTTATTTTCTTTCCACATTTCGTTTTTTTTTATCACCCTCTTCTTATTTACATATTGTATAATTATAATTGTGCTCCTAGTGTGTGTTACTGCACGTGTTGCTTGACATTTCAATTTACTCATGCATTGTTTATTTATGTAAGTGTTGCTTCCACAACATAGATACAATAATTAGTACAATCGTCATATGCTGAGAGCTTGTGCTCATTCCCCCTTTACCCCTTATCATTATAATGATGCTTATCATCATATAGGTTTGTGCTACTTTCACCCTTTTAAACTTCTCCGTCACCCTTTTATTCCTCCTATGTTTGTTCTCCTTTTCAGGTGTATACTATTCTGCGGGCGCAAAGGCTATAAAAATCTATCCCATTTATAGTAGTTCCACTCTCCATAGTAGACTCTGCGCATTCTGTGAGAATTCACTCATGTAGCACTATTCTTCTGTATAACATTATCTTACACACGGACCATTATGCGTAACCCTCTTCATAAAGTCATAACTGTATTTATAACTGAATAATTATCCCCGCTCTTAATTGAATGATCTTGTAAATTCTAAAGTCATACATGTATTCTTTCTTTAACAAACGGTTTCAATTATATATATAATTATATTCCCATATTCCATGATAGAGTATCTTCCCTTGTGCATATGGATTCTTTAATAATTTCCCTGATCAGTATTTTTTACCTATTTTTATCCTTCCGATAGCTTCATGATACAGTGAGAACTATTTTCTACTTCTACTGAAGTTGAATCAATATTTTGAATAAGATGAATATCCGCTAAGGATGGTGCCGTAATCAGGAAGTGTGGAGGAGGAGCGTATTCTGGAAGCTACTCGTTTTGTCTACTGAAAGAGTGAGAGGAGCGATCATTCCCCTTCTAGTTAATGGTAGTGTTCAGGGTTTATTTTTTGGGTATCACCTCCATGGCTGTGCTCTATATTATTCCCCAAGGCTTCCATTAGGGACAGTAATATCTATATCTTTTATAATATAGCCCCCTTGGCAGCCTACGCCTCCTTGATTTGGTTCTTAAGGCGTCGGGTTCGATAACATATTTAACAATTCTTGATGGTACTGTTACGTTCATATCAGAACATGGGGCTTCCTGAAAATTCCCCTCTATATGGTTCTGAATGTTAAAGACAATGGGAGAGGAAATATTAATCTTCATTTATATATAGGTATCTTCCTGTCATATAACCCTACTCCTTTTTGAGGAGTACTATTCCTCATTATGGGAAGGAGGAATGATCTCCGCTTTTTCTGATTTTCGCGTCTAGATATTTTACATAGTAATCATATATATCGAGCAATTGTGCTATAACCTGCGGGGGATGTTGTCTTCTATATTAGGAATTAAATATCTTCAAGTTCATTAGTGATGCGCAACTTCCTGGATTTCTCCATAATATCTAGGTTCGTTTTCTGTTATTGTTTATCTTAATTCTTTATAATTGAATAGGAATCATAAGGAACGGGTAAGGAGTTCAATTTAGGAATGAACTCCTGATATC